GGGGGTGCGGTGTAAACCTATGATGGCAGTGAGGGGGGGGTGGTGTAAACCTATGATGGCAGTGAGGAGGGGGGAGTGTAAACCTATGATGGCAGTGAGGGGGGTGGGGACCTATGATGGCAGTGAGGGGGGGGACCTATGATTTCAGTGAGGTGGGGGGTGGCCCTTGATGCATCAGAGCTCGTGACCCCAGAATATCAGCCTGCGACCCCCCAGCCCATCACCCCACTCGGGTGTCCCAGTGCCCACCTTGAGTAGCCATGTCCTTATTCCATCCCCAGCCGCAGTAAATCCAGCAGGGCGAATGTTGGATGTGAGATGGGACCTGAAGCAGGGCAAGGGCATCAGACTGGTTCTTGCCCCCTGCCTGCTTTGCCCAGCTTTGCCCAGCAGACCTGAGGGCCCGGTTATGGGGTACCGAGATCATGACCGTTTTTAGCACTCGTTTTTAACATACCTGCCCGCATTCTTGACAAAACCCAGGTCGGCCAGAGCGATCGAGCAAATCTCACAGCAGAAACAGTCTGGGTGCCAATTATTATTCATTGCTTTGATGACACGGCCAATAATGAACTCCCCTGGGGGCACAGAATGAAACAAAATGAAATACCCAGAAGAGTATCTATCTGAAAGAAAGCTGGACAAATACTCTTCAGTGAAATCATTTCCACCTTCTGCATGCTTGAGGATTTCCAAGCCATTCTCTGATTTGGTTTGATTTATTATGGTCACATGTACCTGCGTACAGTGAAATGTGTTGCTTGGCGTGCAGTACAGGCAGATCATACCATGCCAACTGCACCAGGGTAATAGAACAGAGCGACGAACACAGGGAGAAGATGCACAAACAGCAAGATCAACAACAAATTTAAAATTTGACAGGTCCATTCAGAAGTCTAATAACAGCAGGGAAGAAGCTGTTCTTGAATCTGTTGGTACATGTGTGTTAAGCTTTTGTATCTTGTGCCCAATCGAAGAGGTTGGAAGAGATTATAACCGGGGTGGGAGGGATCTTTGATGATGTTCGCTGCCTTTCCCAGGGCAGCGAGAAGTGTAGATGAAGTTAATGAATGGAACATTGGCTTGCATGATGGACTGTACAACACAACACTCTACAGAATAGGAATACTGGCACTTTGAGCTCTGTCTGTTCCCCAAGATCCACTGAGCTGCTGATATTGGCTCAGGCGATTTCATGTTTCTTTGTGACACGCATTGTGGCTCTATGATGAGCAGAACCAAATTACAGTGAAACATAAAAATGCCTGACATTCATCAAAATGGTCATTTCATGCCCTGGCAGGGGCTGTGAGCAAATTAAACCATTCCCCCCGCCATAACGGCTGGGACAGGGGGAGTGAGAAGGCTTCACTGCTTAGGAACTGAGCAGGGGAAGGTAAAGTAATCCAGTAGCGATCTCCTGACTCCACAATGCTCTACCTTCACAGGCTGTAAGAATTTATGACATTGGCTGCCCAGAGTTTGTTCTTTGGGAGTATTCAAAGTTTCAGAGAGTTACAGAGCAAGTTAACTCGGACTGTCAATTAATGTCTGTTGTTTGTAAGGCTCCTCTTGAGTCAGTATAAATGCGTTGTCTTGATACCAGTGAATCCTGCACACTATCATAATGGCTTCATATTTAATCACTTTTGTGGACTTGAGTTTGAAGGGTTGTGGACACCTTAAAGCTTTTTTTTTAACTGATGTCAGTAAAAGGGCACTGGATTATTTTTTAAAACAAGGCATTTCTTACAAGTTGTATGTCTTCTGACAACTGCTTGTTATAACTGCCCGGTGACAGTAAATACTCTGGGGGCTGTTTGGAGTAGCTGGTGACCTGGTCAAGAGAAGGAGATCCCCAGCTCAACACTCCAGTTTCCGAACGACAAAAACACTCAACACGAGTCCAGGTTGTCCTCTTAAACAGCGGCAGGAAAATTTCTTGATACTGTGTTTCCTCAGCAGGCTGTACCTGCCAAAATCCCAAAGACACACACACACACACACACACACACACACACACACAGACATACAGCGGTATGCACATGCCAGAACATCAGACTGAAAGCCATCTGAGCATCTCAAACATTATCCTTTCACCCTTTTTGAACTGGATCATTTTGAATGAAATATCTTCTTTCCCCCAAAGTGAACTGCTGCAGAGAAAGATCTGTCTTCGCCTTCGGTGTGCACTGTGATATTTGTGTGTGTTTTTAGTTATTAAGAAGGGAAAACATTTAAATTTTCCTATTACAAACTGAATGATTTAACCAGTTTTGTATCTTCATTAAGTAAGTTATATTTTATAATAAATTAATAAATTTGTGTTTATTAAAGAAACATGGTTGATTGGTCTTTTTAAGTCCAATATAGAGAAAGAATTTGCATGGCCCTATCAGAAACTGCAGAATAATTTGCATTGTGACCTGAGGAGTTGTGAGACTAGACAGAGACAGTGTGCTCCTCTGGCTCACTCATAACAACACGTCTGGGATCTTCCTTTTCTTGGGTGACATCGTGACAAAGCAATGAGTCCATTGGTCCACTTACCAATGTGCAACTCAGAAAAGGAGTCATGTTAACAATGTCAAATAAGCAATTTGATAGAGTAGATGGGATTGGGGGTGCCAATGATCACTGCTGATTTAACAGATACATACACACACAAATACATGGAAGCACATGTACTGACTTGTCCTACACCTGTACGCGCACACACACACCTTTGCACTCACATGTTCATAAAACGTCATATGCATTACATAAACGTGCATAAGAACATGCACCAGACCTAAAAAGCCCACACTTATGCACGACAGGAACAAAAACACCAGTGTGCACACATGCACAGATACACACACAGATAAAGCCTATACACACTCATACACACACACACACACACACACAGAAATGCAAGCACACACACAAAGACGCAATGCGTGCTCACACACGGACTCGCAGAAACACACATATACATAAATGGACAGACACAGCACACACATGTACACACAGATAGGCACAGCAAACATGCTCACACATGCAAACATACAGATGTGTGCACATAGACACACACAGAGAGACACACACACACACACACACACACACACACAGTGGGCTAACTGGCTCGACCATTTGAAATGCCTCTATAGTTTATTCTTACCACATTGCCCACAGCACGGTGCAAACAGCATCTGGAAGTCGTGTTCACAATACTTCCGACCTTCAAACTGATAGAAATAAGATGAGATTCAGCACAAGTTAAATCAGTCAAACTCACAAGCTGCAACAACTCTCTGCAATAGGACACACAGAGCACAGTGAGATCTCACAGCTGTATATTTACACAGAGCTGAGGGCATGGCTGTGCCACATACCACACCTGGCTGTGTCCATCACCCCAAAGGGAGGGCCTGGGCTAAGGACAGCCCCTGCTGATGGTGGTGAGGGTTCTCTGACTGAAGGTGGAAGGAAGAGGGTCTGGCAGGGAGTGCCCAGGGTCAGTGAGGGAGAGGGTCTGTGATATGGGGATCTGTGATAGGGGGTTAACAGTGGGGTGGGTGATTGGGGCTGGTTCAGTCGGGAAATCAATGTAGAGTCTGCACCTTCAGCAGAGAAGGTTTACACCGAGGGTCAGTCTATCAAAGGGAAACATTTACAGGATGGAGTCTGCTGGAGTGTGAACATCTGTGTGTGTGAGAGTGTGTGAGTCCGAACATGTGTGCGTGTGTGAGTGCGAATGTGTGTGTGTGTATGTGAGTGCGAACATGTGTGTTTGTGTGTGTGTATGTGAGTGCGAACATGTGTGTGTTTGTATGTGAGTGCGAACATGTGTGTGTGTGTGTGCGAGTGCGAACGTGCGTGTGCGTGAGAATGTGTGCAAACATGTGTGTGTGTATGTGAGTGCGAGTGTGTGTCTGTATGTGAGTGTGTTTGTTTACGAGTGTGCGTATGCAAGGGCAAGTGTGACTGTTTGTGCGAGTGGAGGTGTCTCTCTGAGTGCGAGTGTTCATGTGTCTGAGTGTGAGTGTTCATGTGTCTGAGTGCGCGTGTTCATGTGTCTGAGTGTGTGTGTTCATGTGTCTGAGTGTGTGTGTCTGTCTCAGATTGCAAGTGTGCGTGTGTTGTGTGTGATTTGTATATGAGTGAGAGAGTGAGAGTGACAACGTGAGAGTATGAGTGTGTGTGTTTGTGCACGAGTGTGGTGTGTAAGTGTGAGTGCGTGCATATGAGTGGGAGTGTATGACTGTATGCAAGTGTGAGTGTGCTTGACCGTGTGAGTGAGTGTGCACGACTGTGTGTGTGTATGAGTGTGCATGACTATGTGTCAGTGTGCATGACTGTGCATGTGAGTGTGCATGACTGGGTGTGTGTGTGCATATGAGAGTGATTAGGCGTGAGTGTGTGTGAGTGTGAGTGACTGTGTTTGCATGACAAGGTGTGAGTGTGAGTGAGACTGGGTGTGAGTGTGAATGACTGTGTGAGCGTGAATGACTGGATGTGAATGTGTGAGAGACTGGGTGCGAGTGTGATTGGGTATGAGTGTGAATGAGACTGGGTGTGAGTGTGAGTGAGACTGGGTGTGAGTGTGTGAGTGACTGCATGTGAGTGTCAGTGAGACTGGATGTGAGTGTGTGAGACTGGGAGTGAGTGTGAGTGACTGGGTTGGGTGAGTGTGAGTGAGACTGGGTGTGAGTGTGAGTGAGTGTGAGTGACTGGGAGTGAGTGTGAGT